ATCTGTGCCATCCTCAGACCCTCAAGTACTTGAATACATATATGAATTCTACATCATCGGGAATATACATCCAGGATGTATGTAATTTTGCTTAATGGATTCAATGGCCTGTCAAGTGCTTATGTGTGACTGTGTTATATACACATATTTCTATGTCAATCCTGGACTTCTAATACTTCTGGAAGCACTGGATAAGACATGTAGTTGATGTAAAGTTCTGGACAACATTAGTATAGTTAAAACATGACCAATGTATCATGACTACTGTCCAAACATCCACTGCCCTTATTGGCATAAGCTCTAGCAAATCAGCTACATTCAATATTATATGAGATCACAGAAATAAGGGCAATGAATGGGCATATGTGTTTTCCAAGTCAAGATCAAATTGCACAGAATAAAATGGGCACCATACTGAACGCAGAGTAAATATTTGCCTTCTTTACACAAAGTAGAGACTTACTTATTTGGTGTTACTGTAGCCAGTGTTCCTTATGCGCACTTTCAGGTGTTTAAGGTTGTTGACCTTAACCTGGTAGACAATGTTCTTCACATAACCCTACAAGAAAAAATCCATTGGGGTTAAATCTGGCGACCTAGGAGGTCAAGTGATTAGTCCACCTCTGCCAATTCATATCCCAGCCATCTCTCTGTCCAGGTGATTTCTAACACGGTGGAAAAAATGTGGCGGCATATGTGTGGAAGCCGGGCATGAAAAAAACTTTCAGAGTTTTGCTTTCCGATGACATAACCAGATATGTGTATGACAATTAGTTTCCGAGATATACATTTTTATTTTGGACACCTTATATTCATTTATAAAACAGACAATACAACAAGGCAGACCAGAAGGCTGAAAAAAATTAATATCGCATGACATTTGAGCCAAGCATGCATGGACTACTTCCTCCTGACAAATTACAAAATTTCACATTAATATCTGTGATCCAGTTTTTAATGTTCTGCCAAATGTTGCATTCAAAGTAGTGCAAACTGTGCTATCAATGCCATTTCCACAGTGTGCTCCTGAGCACTGATAGAGGACCAACTTTCAGGTTCTGCTAACTACTGCGACATTTCAAAATTTCCAACTTACTTGATGAAGTTTCAACATTTTGAGGATGATGACCATTGGGATGCAGGACAAACACGTTACGTTTATTAAAAGACTAAAAATAAACAACATGTCTGATGATACACTAGCTGTAACAAACATAAATACATTTATCACAAAACATACTACCACATATATGAAGCACAGAGAAGCATTTATATACTCAAAGAAAATGAATGCTTCTCTTGTGATAATTACAGGAGTAACAGAGTACATAAATCTGTACACCAGCACATTAGCCATGGCTGTAATAAAATTGACAATGGCCAATTACAAATATTGGAGGGGGGAACCTTGCAGAATGCGCTTTTAAGGAAGAGGATCAGGCTGAGATCCAAGAATATTACATTATATGCAATATTTGAGGTTCTTGAAGTATGACTATGAAGAGTACTATCTTCTCACATGTGGCACAATATAAAAAAAACTCCATGGTTTTAGTCCACAAGCGAACTATACCAACAGCGACAGCCGCTTGTCAGCGAAGTTAGTGACATTAGTGGATAGAGGGTGTCGCATAGTCAGTGCAACGAGTCCCTATGGCCGTTAATTTTGGTTTTCTAGACTGAAGCCGCTATTTGCTTGAAATAGCTCCTCAATTATCCTCATGAGGCTGAGTGGACCCCGTTCCAGACCCACTACTTCACATAAAATATGGTAGCGCCGAGAATCGAACCTGGACATCTGGATCTGTAGTCAGGGACTCTGACCACTAGACCAAAGAGGTGTGATGCAGTATAGTGTGGTAAAAGTTCAGCAACACTTTCAGAGGTACATACTGCCTCTATCGTCAGGATAAAGGACTAAGTGTTACTCTGCTTGTTTCATTTACTCTTTGAGCCTGAAGATGGGGGCAGCAGATTCCCCAGAAAATTCAAAAAGCTTCCACCACACTACAGGGTATCACACCCGAGATGATGCTCTTTGTATTACATATTTATATTCCATATCTTTCAATGATACATAACAGCAACATTTCACTATGGTTTCTTCCAATTTTGTTAGTAACAGTTCATGTGTCAATCTAATTCAGTGACATTGCTTGAAAAATTGGGAACCACTAGCTGGCCAAGAAATTCCCTGTCCTTGTGAAACCCAAAAGGCCACTACCAAGTCTGTAACAGCATATCCTCTTACCTTTTCCTAAGCCAGTTGAATCCAGTCCACTCTTAACACCTTATTTTCTTAATACTGATTTTACTATTATCCTCTCATCTATGCCTAATTCTCCCAATAAATCTCTCCCCTTCACACTCACAAAGACAAAATTCTGTATACATCTGTCACCTTGCTGATGAATGCTACATGTGCCAGTCCACTTCCAGGTTATTATCCTAGTAATTTTAGGTGAGAAGTAAAAATTATGAAGGCTCTACATCATGATATTTCCTCCATTAACAATTCTCCTCTGTTTTAAGACCAAGTCTCATACCACATAAAACAGCAGGTAAAATTACTACTTTACACATGGAACATAAATCATGTTTAATTAAATACAGGGAGATCAAAAAGTCGTGCACATCAAACTAAAAGTTGTTATAAATTGTAATGCTAACGAGTAGACACACCATCTGTCGTGTATCGGTCATACGACATCTGCAGTATAGCTTTGTTTATTGCGTGACAGACATGTCGTTTTCCCAAGAACGAGTTTTCATGGAATTGAAGAGTCTGACTGGGTTTTCTTCTCTGAGGAAGTGTGGTTTCACCTTAGTAGCTATGTGAACAGTCAAAACAATAGGATTTGGTCATCTGAAAATCCACATGTTACATGAAAAGCCCTTGCACTGTCAGAAAATTGGAGTGTGGTGAGCTGTACCACATCGTCAAATAGTGGGCACAATTTTCTTTGAAACAAGAGTGAACAATCCAATGTACCAAGACATCATTACACAGTTTATTGCGCTTCTTGAAGTTGATGAACATGAGTGTTGGTTGCAGAAAGACGGTGCCACATGTCACACATCTAATGAAACTATGCAGTTCTTGCATGAGTTTTTTGGTGACCGTCTCATTTCAAAAGGATTGTGGCCCCTGTGTTCGCCCGATTTGTCACCTGCAGATTTTTTCCTTTGGGGGTACCTCAAAGGAATTGTCTATAAAAAGAGTCCGCATACACTGGATGACCTCAAGAGGAACATTTTGACGGCTATTAACAGCATCAGTTTACAGGTGCTCCACAAAGTGGCCTAAAACATGGTAAAAGGATTTGATTTGTTTCATTCTGGTCTGTCACACTAACAATATTACAAATGATAAGACAATTCTGTCCAGTGTGACTGGACGGAATTGTCTTATCATTTGTAATAATGGTAAAAGGAGCCTGCGCATGCATTGCTGAACAGGTAAGCAATTTCAAGCATATGTTGTAAAGACATAATTTGGTTTTGCATTTCTAAGTTGTAAGGTTATAAACATTAATAGTAAGTGCTGTATGTCTTGTAGTCTGTGCATTTAACCAGCAAAATATAATTGCTTAGTGTGATGCGCGCGACTTCTTGATCTCCCTGTATTGTACCATACTGTAGCATATAGACCCATTGCTAAGCTGGGACTGTAAACAAGAACCATTTCTGAGCAATGGCTCACTAAACATCTTCCCATTGCTAGCCAGCAGATTCTTAATAATGCAACAGTTGGAGTACAACAATGGAAACAAAGTGTTTCCAGTGTGGTCCATGCTGTGATGTTATAAAGGAGGGCCAAAGTTAGTTGAGGGTTCAGCTCAGTTCTTATGGGAGGCTGTGATGAGAGGACCAGAGCGCATGAAGCTGAAGAATCTCCACTGTTAGAAGCTGTTGCCATGGAATGGCTAATGATGACACAGCAGGCTGGAAGAGGCTTAGGAGGTGTTATGGTAACTTATAAATTGTGGAAATTAACAGTGGTACTGTAACTGCTTGTAGTTCTGAGTTGCATGTATAAGTGGTCAATAAATCCATTCACCAATCCAAACCCCATCAAGTCACACATACTACAATATTATATCGTAAATGTCTTTCCAGACAGCATTTCACAGACAATTACAGAAGTGGTGTGCAGACAGCTGGATCCTATATCAAGTCTGTGAATAATACTGCAACTGCTTTATCCACAATGGAAGAAAAGCAATATAGCAAATGCTCATGATTTGAGATTTACATGCAGTCAAACTATGTCAATAACGAAGGGTCCTTTCTTCTGGGATGTGATACCATATAGACTAGTAGAAGTTCTGCAATGTTTCAGAAGATGGTCTTGCCTCAATCTCCATGGTCAAAGAGTAGGGTGACAAAGAAGACAAGCTACCTGCAAGTTGGCCTGTTGAACCAACCAGCATAACATAAATCATGCATTTACTTACAAATACTATACTTGTTGAAGCCTAAATGTTGATTCTGTGTACAAATATTCAGCAAGTTCTGTAACTTTATCTCAGTTCTGAGGGAAGCCTAGATCACTTCAGTTTTTATAAAATATCTATAAAATAATTGCACTTTGCAAAAGATGGGTATGTAAGAGATAGGTCAGCTACTTAGTGACCCTAGCACAGGCACACTGTCTCTATGGAAATTTGCTCTTGTACCACTCTTTCAACTATTCAGTATATGAACACAGTAAAACATGTCTTCAATGCAGTATCGAGCAATCATAAGAATTCCCACCTCTACACAGTTTTGTTACATATACAAGTACATGGTTAATGATTTGCTGTTTTCATAGATACAAAAATTTGAGTTGGTTTCTTTTGGTTTGCTAAGCCACACAACCAAATTTTACCGTATCTTTTCCCTTACCAGGTTTCTTAAATTACAATTCCTTACATCAGAATAAATATATTACATTCCTGTGCTTCACAAACATTTTTTCGGCTTATAAAAATTCATTGTAAAATTAAAAACATCAAAACAGGAGGAATTCTACTTTAATTATATGATCTTATACAGGTACCAATAGAACAGAGACTTATATTATGCACGCACATTTTACAAACACCACAGATTACTCAGCCTTGTCAAGCACAGTATTATTTTACCTCAATTAAAACCACAATATTAAGATATTAGGATGTCACTTCCTCTGTTGCACCTTCAAATTCCAACTTCACATCTTCAGGAAGTCCTTCAACATCAACTTCTGATTCAGGTGCATTCAGCATATTAAGAGTCACCTCTGAAGATTTACTCATCATGCTCTGTTGAGATGCCTGTGTAGTCTGAACAGTCTGAATTGTGCGAACAGGAATTCCTGCATCTTCAAAGGCCTTCTTCTTCAGTGTTGTTCTGATCTGAGAACTAAAGGTAAGAATAAACTTGCACTATTTCCATGTTTTAGGTAAAATCAGTCTTACCTGAAAAGGTGTACCGCACAGTCCGCATGAGGAGGGGATACAACATTCAGGGTCATAAAGAAAAGAATAAATTATGAGACAATTAAAATTCCATAAACAAAAAAAAAACTCTGTGGTTTCAATCTGCAAGCGAACTAAAATTCCACAAACAATGAAATTTATACAACAGTACAAAAGGCTATCTCCATAAGAGATATCTTGAACCGTTATATCTTTTTGTATATAAATAAGTGATAAAGTCCATCAAGTGTAACTAATTTAATAGGATTATATAAAAGCTTTGCCTTTACGTGTATCACAAATTACTGACCATTTAACAGAAGGCATAGTGAGTATGGGAATTATTTTACATATGTTGTTGAATGTAGGTTTTTACTACAGTATCATAGCAGAACTTCAAATAGTTACATAAATTAAAAATGAACAGCTCATACAGACAAAATAAGTTATGAACATTAAGAATAAATGGTTAAAACCAGTTAAAATATGTTAAAAAGTCCTGTTGAGTATATGGAAGAACAAGTGGATGGTCTCTGTTTCTTTCTATTCTTGGTTACTAAGAAGTTTACTGACTGCTGTATTGTGGGTCATATACCTATCTGTCCTTCTGCATCATCCTGTTGTGCATGCCATCCCACATACTACAATCCAGTTCAATGGATTACAAACAAGAATGTTGAGAAATGTGCGACTGGAGACTGCATAGAATACAAGCTCAACCGATACCTGTATTTGGTTCAGAAACCACCTTAAGGAAATACAGTGCAGTGAAAAAAGGATGCAACTTCAAGCAATGAGATTCATTATTAGATCACTAACAGAAGCTACCTGAAAAGACTTAATAACTAATGACACAAGAGAAGAATTTGGAGTTACTAATCTGTTACACAATATTGAAAAAGATGCATCATATTGGTGAGGCACACAGTAGTATACTTGGTTGAGGCACTATGCTATAAGCCGGAATGTCGTGGATTCAATTCCTGATGAGGTTACTGAATTTTTCAATTTACCTTATACCTCAAGGAGCACTATGGCCCTGGGGTCAACTCAGTCCCTAACACAAATGAGTACCAGGAATCTTCCTGGAGGCAAAGGGCAGCTGGCCATCTGTGAGCCAATTTTGTAGAAAATGTGGGAGGCTCAACATCTCACAACCCTATGGGTCTCCACAACCTGTTACAGGGATAGCTTTACTTTTTTTTTTTTTGCATTACACTGGAGAACACACAGCGAGAATGGATAATACAAGAAAGAAATTGGATTAAATAGCAGGTTTATTATATCTTTAATATAAAACATCTCAAGGAAGAGAAGTGTGAAGAAATGGGAAGCGATGGTCCAATCAATCAGTTCTGAAAACAAGTCCTGATGGTTTGCTGCAGAAAATACAGCTAAATGGAATTACTCATATATTTGTGAATAAATGACACGGAGTATATACGATGAGCAACAGTTATGCTATGTGATACGTTCAAGAAGCACAGGCATAAAAGCATAATAAGTACACTCACATCTGGGGCGTGTATTCCGGAATACAACAAACATACACCAACTAGAACATGAAACAAAAGAAATTTCTGAATTGAAAAGCAGCAAGCAACCCTCAATGTTAATATCTGGTATGTCACACTACATGTATCTGTGAATACTGATATTATAACTCCTTTGGTCCTCCAGTAATCTCACAAATATATTCTACATATTCTACTTTTCACAGATGTACACTCTTGATCTGCCATCATACAAAACAGTAGGACTAGTACACTGCTGGTTACAGTCTCCACCTAACAATGACAACAGAACATTTCTGATGAAGAAACTGAAGTCTCGAAATACACTTCATTTATGTATTTCATATCTTTTATTTTCCAAAATATTTATAAATTTACAATTTATATTCTGTTTTACAGAAATAATTACACAGAAATGTTTCTAAACTTACACAGTTCTGCCTTTGATGTGTTCACTTATCTTGCTGAGATCTTCTCCAAAATGTTTTACTGCTTGTCGAAGCATTTCAATTTCTTCATCTGTCCACTTTCTGCTATGCAAATTATGCAAAGAAAGACAAAATGTAATATCAAATACTTTCAGAGAAATACAAACAATATATACAAAGTTATGTACAATTCCTAAAAAACAATTACTGAGGAGAGAAAATGAGATCTAATTTTATTCCATCCGACAACAAATTCACCTGTACATCTTTTTTACAAGAAAAAGTTCATATAACTTGCTTTATATTTTGCTTTAATGTATCTCAGCCTGGGTTGAGCTGTGAAAATCCTCATTTCTTGGGCACAGAGGAGACATGCAAGAAACATGAACACTTCATCACCCACATTACTGGATATATATACATGAGTCACTGGCAACACAAGTCATTCCCTCTGTCAACCACTCAAACCTCTATTTAAGCAAATTATAATCAAAAGTCATCATGTAACAATTAGCATATATTCTGTATTGCAGAGTAGCCTGGCTCAAATTTTGGCCCAAACAAATGCTCAGACATCACTGTAAAATAACCATGTCCAATTCCTTTCATATCCTTCCCAAATGCATCATTCAGTATCAACCTACTGAGCAAGTTGGCTCCAGTGGTAATACTTTTGACTTCCACTGTGGAGGTGCCTGGTTTGAATCCTGCATGAGGATTTTTGTTCTTTTCGTCATTTCCTCCATACAAATGTCAGAGTAGCACCTCAGATTAGGACATGACCACCTCGTTCCACATTCTAATTCTTCAACTTACAGTCACCTGACATTGCACACTCTGCACTACTGACAGCATTATTAAATAAGGCAAAACAGGGTAAAAGGTAAAGTTGTCCTTGTGCTCAATTAATCTAGCACCATGCCATGAAGATGGGGGAGTGGACATATAGCTCCACAACTCTTGACCTTGGCATTAGACAGAACTCAGTGTGTCAGCTTCATGCCCTAGCCACTTTACCCCAGGGGAAAGAGCCTCTGGTACCCACTGGATAGGAGGTTGGGTGGGCCTCAGAGCTGGTCGGGACACTATGGAGTAGAGAGAAATCTCTTGCCCCAGCCAGAAAATGCATCTTGGTCATCCTAGTTCCTACACCAACTGAGACATCCCAGCTCTCTGAATTATTAAATAAAGTATAGATAAATTCATATCTTCCTTCCCTACTAAACAACCTATACAACTAACAAAACAAATTCTAAATAAACCAGGACAAAGAGGTAGATTTATGGACACTCCTATATGGAAATAGATGACTGCACTAACACCAGAAAAAAAAAAAGCCATACCATTCTGCAGTTTGATCTCTACAACTTGCAAATTAATGACTTGGACTCATTTAACTCAGGACAGGTCTAGTGGCAGTATCTCTTGAACTTGGTAATGAACCTTCAGGTTTCATATGGAACTTCTTGACCAAATAATAAGATTATTAAGATTGTGGTCTTTTGGATTATGACAACATGTAATATTATAGTTGGTTACCAACATCCCAGAGAAACCAGTTACAACCAAGATCAGTGCAAACTGAAGCAGCAGGTTTCTCTGAACACTGATAACGATTTATGATACTATACGATGTCACACCCTAAAGACCACAATCTTACATTTTCACCACTGTGAAAACCTCAGATTTCAGGCTTATCAATTTAACTTCTCACGATGGATTCTGCTCCTCAGAACTACTTAGGGCTGGAAAGGAAGGAACTAACAGAAGTGGTGGGGGAACACACTGGCTGCCTACAAAAGAATTTTATTCAATAAGAAATTGATGTCATTAATATAGCCAGTGCTGAACTTCATTATGGAAGAACAGAAAATTTCAGCTTTTAATTTTAAAATAAAAAAAAAATCTACTTTTTTTATTTATTTGTTTAATCATCAATCAGAATATACATTCTATAAGCTAATGTTATGGTTGTTTAGATGACTTGGTGAGGAGTTGTCCAGCAGCGAATCCTCAGTAATTCAAATCAGGTCAATTGGCCAGTTTCGTTTGAATCCTCTGCTGTCTTCTCTTGTCGATAGCTTCTTTAGGAGTGGGGTTTTATGAGTTATGATTTTGTTGTGATGTCTGTTGCTTTTTTGTTGTATGAAGTCTTGTACGGAAGATATACCGAGATCATTGTGGAGTGTTGTGTTGGAGACATACCATGGTGCGTCAACTATCATTCGTAGGATTTTAGATTGGCTTATTTGAATTATTGCTATATTAGATTTGCTGGTGCAGCTCCATAATTCCAGGCCATATGTCCAAATAGGTAAAATTATAGTCTTATAGATCAGAATTTTATTTTCAACTGTTAGCTTTGACTTTTTGCCTATAAGCCAGTTTAACTGTTTAATGGTTGTCTACTTGCCTTCGTTTCTAGACTACATTCTGCTTCCATGTTAATTTGCTGTCTATAGTCATACCTAGGTATTTTACTTCTGCTTTGCGTGGTATTTGGAGATCATTGATGTATATGTCAGGTGTCGGCTTTTTTCATAGGGTGAAAGTTATGTAGCAAGTCTTGTTTTCATTTATTCTGATACGCCACTTCTCGAACCAATTTTGTAATGATCTAAGGTGATGCTGAAGGTCTGTTGCTGCTCTTTCTGGGTCTTTGTTAACTGACAAAATAACTATATCATCAGCAAATGTTCCAAGAGTTATATTTGAGGAAGTGGGTAGGTCAGATGTAAATAAAGTGTATAAAGCTGGACCAAGGACACTACCCTGTGGCATGCCTGCTTTTATCGGTGGTGGTCCAGATTCTTCGTTTCCCACTCTTATTTGGAACTGTCAGTCACTTAAGTAGGATTTAAGAAGATTAAAATACGGTGGTGGAAGGATTTGTTTGATCTTGTATAGCAGACCACTATGCCACACCCTGTCGAAGGCCTGGCTGACGTTTAAGAACACTGCTGTATGGTAGAATGGCCTTGACGAAATCCAAATTGGTGGTGTTGAATCCACTCTTCTGGCCTCAAGTCTTTGTCTATTCTTCTAAGTATAAGTTTTTCAAAACCTCTGGACAACACTGATATGATGCTGATTGGGCGGTATGAAGCGATTTCTGTTGGATTCTTTCCTGAGGTCTGCTGAAGGTCAACCAATGTTTTAGAGGAACATGTCACCTATATTTTCAGGGGTTAAGAATAAGCCAAGCAAGAAACCAGCATGAAACAGGTATCAAGGAGAGTGTACTTGGCTTACTCTTTAACCCTGAAGATGGGCGTGCCATGTTTCTGCGAAATATCAGCGAACACTTCCACCCATCAATATCTCAATGGAAGCCATTATCATCCAGACCTAAAGGATGACTCTACAAGACCTTCAAATCATGAAGATCAAGAGTTGGAAGATGCTTGTACAATGGATGGAGCAATGAAAGGAAATTGTTGAGTCATCTTGGGTTGTAGAACTGTTACAGAAGAAGAAGACTTCCACCCATCCTACTTATATCACTGGAATTCCACCATATTGATAAGAATTACCTGATGAAAGGATAGACTGACAGCTCAGTACAAGGATTCTAAATACGCTTCATAAATATCCTATGGAAATATAAACATACAGCTGCCTTATAAGAATGAATATCAGAAAACAATTATGAATATAGCAAATTCTGTTTCCCCCACTATTAAAACATTACATAAAATTGAACACTAAAAGGGATATGCAGCACATACAAATATGTACTTACATTACTATGTTTTGTGAATGTTGGCATTTTTCTGACACTAGTGCCTTCAAATTGGTTGTGAGTAGCATCAGAGGACTTGTCAGGGCTGGAAAAATATTTAGAAACATAGGAGACTATCAAATTCCTAAAACTTGAAGGAAAACAGGATAGGACCAATTCTGAGTTTAAAATAAACAAAATTTATCGACTTAACTTCCACCTGTTTAGTGTTTTATGCTGTACAGCAGTTAAACAAGTGAAGTTAAGTGACTTACAAGACAAAATTCTAGAAGATTTTCACATACAGCATACAATGATTCTATAACTGTCTATAACTGGAACTGATGTGTGGAAGAATTGCACGTTTCTCTATAGCAATCACAAAAACCTTTGACACACACAGGATTAAATAATAAAATCACTGTCTCAAGACATGCGATAAATTAACCACTTGAACTGTTTCCCAACAATCTTACAATTACAGGAGTTGTAATCACAAATTGGTTTACTGATGGGTACACCAAATTTTTCAGATGCCCATTCACAGGAACCATAAATAAGTGAAGTTAAGTGACTTACAAGACAAAATTCTAGAAGATTTTCACATACAGCATACAATGATTCTATAACTGTCTATAACTGGAACTGATGTGTGGAAGAATTGCACGTTTCTCTATAGCAATCACAAAAACCTTTGACACACACAGGATTAAATAATAAAATCACTGTCTCAAGACATGCGATAAATTAACCACTTGAACTGTTTCCCAACAATCTTACAATTACAGGAGTTGTAATCACAAATTGGTTTACTGATGGGTACACCAAATTTTTCAGATGCCCATTCACAGGAACCATAAATAAGTGAAGTTAAGTGACTTACAAGACAAAATTCTAGAAGATTTTCACATACAGCATACAATGATTCTATAACTGTCTATAACTGGAACTGATGTGTGGAAGAATTGCACGTTTCTCTATAGCAATCACAAAAACCTTTGACACACACAGGATTAAATAATAAAATCACTGTCTCAAGACATGCGATAAATTAACCACTTGAACTGTTTCCCAACAATCTTACAATTACAGGAGTTGTAATCACAAATTGGTTTACTGATGGGTACACCAAATTTTTCAGATGCCCATTCACAGGAACCATAAATAAGTGAAGTTAAGTGACTTACAAGACAAAATTCTAGAAGATTTTCACATACAGCATACAATGATTCTATAACTGTCTATAACTGGAACTGATGTGTGGAAGAATTGCACGTTTCTCTATAGCAATCACAAAAACCTTTGACACACACAGGATTAAATAATAAAATCACTGTCTCAAGACATGCGATAAATTAACCACTTGAACTGTTTCCCAACAATCTTACAATTACAGGAGTTGTAATCACAAATTGGTTTACTGATGGGTACACCAAATTTTTCAGATGCCCATTCACAGGAACCATATGGTGCATATGATCCTATCAATAATGTGCCATGCACCATAAGTTTTATTTTATTGGAAGAAACAAAATACAAGAATAAGTGGTGAGTTCATCAAGTCTGTTACACTTGACTGACTTATGCTACTTATTTATGTATTAAGAGGTTTAATGGTTCAAGATGTCTCTTATAAACAAAACACAAGGTTTATTTTATTTTCAGAATAAATGTAAGTAATTCTGTTTGTAGGAAGTACAAATGGATTAATATGTAGCCTCTAAAGAACAAAACATACATGATCCAGAAATGTTAATAAAAAATTTAAGGCAATGAGTGAATTGTAATATATATATGAACCTAGCAACGATTAACATAGGCCATGTACTCACCCTGCTGGGGAGTCTGCTGTAGGATGTAGCTGCATTGTGAGTTCACCCAGTTTGTTGAAGGCTGCACCAGCTGCAGTGAAAATCTCACCAACCTGAATCAACACACAGCACATCTTTCATATAGTAAAACAGCTGAAACAAATAATTGTCCTAAAATGATAATGAATGGTTCTCCTTCCACTCATGTTAATCTCAACACATTCATTTTTGTGAAGGAGCTTCAAGGGAGCCATATCCAAACTACCGCAGAGGAGTTCAGTCATTTACGATGTTCTGACATGGTGAACAATTTTTCTTTCTGAAAGAACTTTAAACAAATGGTATTTTTTTGCCAGTTACTAGTGGATGTAACTACCTTTGCAGTTTACTGTATGTTGACTGTGTGCTATTCATTTCTTTATCCTGGAATACAGTAAACTACAAGTGTGCTGTAAGAATGATGGGATTTTAGGAATACCAGATGCAGAGGTATTAGAAGTTAAAGTATTGTGACATGAGAGCTAAAGGCCGGAATAATGGAGCCTGAAGAGAAGACTGTTGCTAGATAATGGCTGGTAAACATGATTCTATGTCATAAAACAAGCATGCCATTACTAGGCAACATGGTCTTTTCTATGAGGTCTGTGCTGAGGCTATACAGCAAGCACGAATGACCCCAATTAGTTACCTGTGAAATGGTAGCCAGCTGGCACCAACGTGAGCAGAAGACAACATCACTGAGACTGAAGGCAAGCTATGACCAGTGAAGACTATGAGAGACTGAGACTAGCATGTGCTGTAGCGATTTGTAAAGTGTGTATATTAGTGAGGCTGTTACGCGTTACCTTTAGTTATGAGTTATAAGTGTTCAGTAACTACAATCACAAATCCAAACCCCGTGTCTAGTCACACACACACATGGCAGTATCAAACCAGATCTAAACACATTTTTTTCAGATAAAATATAAACCTGAAGCTACAAATTTTCTGAAAGTTCCCCCACCTCATGCAATTTTATAACAAATCCCATATTAATTCTTACCCCATTTCAGGCAAGAACAAAACCTAATTCATTAATTGTGCAGTGCTGAAACCAATGTCACAATTATTTAATATAATATTATATTGTATCATCCTGTTGCACATCGTTTATTATTCAACAAATGTCACTAATCCACCGCCTTACATGGAACATGTCCTTCTAAAACCTATTTAAGTCCCTTATATGGCACAATGCATCCTTTTAGAACTTATTTGAAAGCTTCTGTACTTTACACTGTATGATTCGGGCAACAATGGTCATCATTAGATGTTCAAATTGTTGGTGAAAACTGCTGTGCTTACATTTTTGTGGTTCTAATATCTCATGGGTAGTTCCCATCTGCACACCCACATTTACCATATCTGTGGTCTCACAAACATATGTAGTCTCATAATTCCAAGCAAGTTCCCGAAAACAGTACCTGTGAGTTCCATCTCAAACTGTTTAAAAAACTATACCTATGATTGCCAACTTTGATTGTTTAAATCTAATGTTTTGACACTTTTTTATGTAGAAGAGATTTCTACCCATTTTCTGAATCCCACAGTCACAACTTCAGCTATTACAGAACAATTACTTTACTTTAATGTCTGTGTTGGAAGGTGTACTAGTGAAATTAAATCCAGGATTGCCATGGCAAAAGCTGCATTTAGCAAGAAGAAGAATCTTTTTACCAGCAAATTGGACTTAAATTTGAGGAAGAAAATAGTGAAATGCTACATTTGGAGCATAGCTCTGTATGGGGCTGAAACATGGACACTTAGGGCAGTAGATCAGAAACATCTGGAAAGTTTCGAAATGTGGTGTTGGAGAAGGATGGAGAAGATCAGTTGGACCGATTATGTGAGAAATGAAGAAGTGTTAATTAGAGTCAGTGAGCAGAGGAATATCCTACATGAAATAAGAAAACGGAAGGCTAATTGGATTGGTCATGTTTTACGCAGAAACTGCCTTCTAAAAGAAGCTATCGAAGGAAAGATAGATGGGCGGATAGAAGTGACAAGAAGACGAGGAAGAAGACGTAAGAAGATGCTGGATGACCTTGGGGACAGAAGAGGATACTGTCATTTGAAGGAGAAAGCTCTAGATCGCATTAAGTGGAAGAATTGTTTTGGAAGAGACTGTGGACCTGCTGTCTGACAGATTACTGATGATGATGAATGTCTGTGTCTTATGATCAGCATTAGGCTGGAAAGTAAGTGCAACTCCTGCATCATAACCTTATAAAATTATCTAAATATATCTAGGTAATTTCAGAAATCATTAAACACAAACAAAGATTAACTATTTATCGTGTGGAATATTTCTTTCTGCCATTATGAACAAAGTAGCTGCTAATAACTTGTGGATCTGATGATGCTTTACGAAGTGTATTAGTTGCCCTTGCGTTTATCGCATGCAGCAAAACATCTCACCATGAACAAATATACAGTTGTGCTAGTCCACAAATGAAAAACTTCACTTTGGTTTGGAATACACTTATACATTGGCAAATCTTGAGAAGCTGACAATTGGGCAGCCACTCAAGAACTTCCCAGCATTTTATGGAACTCGAAGGTTCATTACCGTGCTCACTAGAGCCCTCCACTGGTCCCTACCCTGAGCCAGATCAATCCAATCCAAACCATACCATCCTCTCTCTAAGATCCATTTTAATATGGTCCACACACCTACGTCTTGGACTTCCCAGTGGTTTCCTTCGTTCCGGCTTTCCCATCGATATCATACATGCATTCTTCCTCTCCCCCATTCGTGCTACAGTATAATAAAACATGCAACTACCACCTTTCTGATAGACCAAGAAGTGTAACATTTTTAAAGTATGCATGTAACGTTTATATTATGGGCGCTTTTCATAATTTGGATTTCGTCTTGCAGCAAATACATACCTATCAGACTAGGCTTATGAAATAGCAGTGTTAGCCAAATCTGTTACTTTGGATTCATTACTTAAAACATTAATATATAGAACTGAGAATCAATACCTTACTTGCGGAATTCATTCTGAACAGTAATATTGTATCTGATTACATTTACTTTACGTCACCAACTTCTAACTAACACAAAACCCAACTGATTACAAATACATAGCACCACAACACCAAAACCTCATTGTTTACGTGTTGCTGTTCGACACTGCATCACCTTTGGTCAAAGAAAATCTGCATTATCCAGTGCTACCAACACCATACATTTTCCTCCCAAATTTGAACGTTGCTATCAACAGCCGTCTGGGATACGAGCAATAGTATTATCGACATGTGTGCGAGTTTGTCTGTTCGCGTCGTCGTTGTTGTATTGATATCGATTTTTTGCAGATACATATCTAGTGCAGATAAATTTAAACAACAGAGATACTCTACCGAACGATTCAGGGGTAGCTGTCTCCTACCCAATGGATACCAAGGGCAATTTCTCGTGGATATGCTTAACGTTAAGAAAAATGGACTATACCCCAAATGTCTTCTTGCCATAGTGCTTAAATAATTAACACTTTAAAGCCCACCTGCTTTAATTAATTAAGCACACAAAATTTTACCTTCTATTGCATGGAAAGTATCGTATATTTCAATGTATTTTGTGATGGATGAGACGACAGACACGCATGTTATTCATTTATTATTTGACTACTAATTTTACACAGAAATTTGATGACGTTTTGTGGGCTATTTGTAGGTTGGTTACGACGCTGTCTGTACGAGCACACACTACAGAGACTGTGATCGGCTTCCGAAATGTGACATCGCGTAGCTTGTTAAGCGGAAATCTACTGGCCCCCTCTTCATTGTAGAAGGGACAGAACATTCTGAATAGGAAATGTTCTACAAGTGTACATATATGAATATTGCAGTATACATTCAGGAAAATGTTTGTTAGATTAAGTAAGGGATCTCATACCTTCCTGTGACCTAACTGAAAATAAAAATGTAAAAAATTATATCACTGCCTGTTGTTCTACACATGTGTGACATTTTGGTCTCCTGCTCTAAGGGAAGAAAACATAGTAAAGGGGTCTGATAACAGCGCTGAGGGCAATAATTGGACCTAACGGAGAGGAAGAAAGTCGTGTCTAGAGAAAGTTACATAATGAAGTTCAGATTGACTTATAGGCCTGTAGATACGAATTATATGAAAAGTAGGGGATCTTTGGGATGTGTAGGACATGCGGAAGAAATTATATTCAAACAAAACTGCAGTCGTAAACCTAAAGGAAAAGGTACATTTTTGAGATTTATTTGTAGGTTGGAGGACAATATCGAAATGTATCCTAGATAAATATCGTTGGAAGGCATGAACTGGATTTAACTGGCTCAGTATTGGTTAAACTGGCATAGTTCTTGGGCTAGGTAACAATCTTTAGTTTTCCTTAAAGATAATTTCGTTGAGTAGCCATTATCTTTACAGGGAAGACTGTATCTTGCAGATGGTGAACAAAATCAGCCCAGGACAGATTTCCTAACATAGCCTGTAAGGTTCATATATTCTGGCGGGAAAGCTTCTTGCTTGGTTGCGAAACTCGTCTAAATACCACATAACCATATATTACACACTATAGCCGTTGCTCTCAGGTACGTTGTACGCGTGACTGTTGTGAGTTACAAGTTTCGCAGAGTTGAAAGACAGATTTACAATAACATTCTACTGAAATCTACCAGTCTTGATTTTAGGCCTGGCCTCTGTGCTGAGAGTGAGAAGGCAAGAAATAAGTGAGCAGTGGTTGCATTTCAATTGCAGGAGGGAGTAAGGATGACGGACTGTAACTAATCCCCCTCACTAACCCATACATATTCTGCAGTCCTCATTTCAGTTACCACACTTGACCAAATCCACTGCGTATTCTGTTCAAAACAGCGAAGCCTAAAAACGTGGAAAGCAATTGACGGTCAATGGCACAACTCAAGAGAAGGGGGAGCTGCTGTTGTGATGTTCTCTACACTTGTCATGTTAACCTCAAACGCACTTTCCTTACGCCTCATTACACTAGGGGTGATCAAATCTCTTGACCTTACAAATGTTGACTAGTAGGCCAGTTATTTTAAATTCAGAATTGCGCAGTGCCGGTGACGTCAGAACATGTAATGCTATTGACCTGCTTCTGTAGAAAAGGAAATCTAACCCAAGAAGATTCAAGTGTCCGTACTGTGATATTCTAGGTTATGACACAGTGCGGTCTGATAGGTAAGTGCTAACTTTTCAGAGGAACTTCAACCCCATAACCAGAGGCAGAAGTACGTAGATTCTAATGGGTTCTGACAATGGTGTATGACAATCGGGATTAATGGGTTTTGGACTTTGTCCATCGTCCGGTATCCTAAAGAACAAAACGTTTCGGAAACTGGGTCTGTTCCCATTGATCGGGATTAGCTCTTTTTTACGGACCAAACAGTGTCTCCAACTCTCTCATCTGAGGACGGAAAACGATCCAGTTTCCGAAACGTTATGTTTTTTGGAATACCGGACGCTTGACAAAGTCCAAAAACCCATTAAACCCAAAGGTAGAATGTTCCTCCGAAATGTTCGTATCCACCTGTAGAAGACTACAGAGTCATAACCTAGAAGAAGACAATATTAATCTTCGCTGTCGTGAAAACTTCGAATTTTATATAATTTTAAATACACCAGTTCTTAAATTGTCGACTATAATCAATCTAAATCTCTAATATTTCATATCAACTTATTCTTAAGATATATTCCTGTTTTCATGGATTCATAACATTCTTAAAGCTCAAAATCTTCTGTAACCAGACAGCTCCATCACGGTAAGGTGAAGTTACACGTCGACATAATCAATTAAGCACCATTCCAGTAAGACGTATGGTGTAGTGGAGCTCCACCAGTCTTAACCTCAGCACTAGATGGAGGTGAGCAGTCAGCTTCACGCCGTTTAACTTCGGAGAAGCAGCCCCAGTAACCATCGGGTTGAAGTTTGGTGGGCGGAACAGCCAGTCTGGACGTTACGGTTAAAAGAAAAAGTCTTGCTCCATTAAAGCAGAAATATACTGAAGACATAACCAATAGGACTAGGGCATACTTTTTGGCTGACAACTAGACAAGCAGCATGTACGTACAATCACTTCCCAGTAAAATCGATCTGCACCGATGGCAGTCACAGTGGTCCACGGATCCTTAAAGCATGGCATTGACTCAGGTGTCATCATATAACCCGTGCCCACCTCAGGAGACGCTGCGAGTCTAAATTTCTGTGTATTCTTACCTGTTTTAATGTGGTTTCGGAGAGGTCGAAATAAAAAGTTGCAAAATGCGCCTATAAGAATCAATGTCTGTCCGACTGTCAACATACGTATATTAATAAAGAATCACTGAGCAGATTTTAATGAAATCCGACATTATATTTTTGCTAGCATTTGCTGACCGTTCCAATTTAAATTACAATCCGATAAAAATGATGACACTTCATGCAAAATTAACATACGTTTCTGCGTGCATACCGAGTGCAACCTGTTAAATATATACTGGAGTGAAACGCGTTTGAAACAAATTTTATAGAGAAAAATGAAACGAATTTTATGTCCAGAGCAATTCTCCGTAATGCTCACTGTCTTCTTGAGAGTTAATAAGAGACTAACGGGGCACAGCTGTTGCGCTATCATATAGTTTACTGTCAACACCAATGAACATTAGCCCTGTGTTCTTATTTTCTATTTTAGAAGAATATATCTTTAATGTAAGTTGATCGGACTGGATGGTTACTATACTAGTGCTCTACTACTGCAGGTCTCGGTTTCGATTTTCAGCTCTGAGCCAGGTTATACTGATGGAGGTACTTCGCTTTTTATCTCAATTTACTCCATATAAATACTGCGATAAAATTTATATGAGGCTATGACCGCTTCCTTCCATGTCCTTACTAATTAATCATTCATTAACATTATGTAAGATAAGGTTCAACGAGTTACGGGACGGAAGTTCTTCGAGCTGCAATATGTATTAATTTGAAATACACAGACTAATAATTATCACGTAAAGCAGTCGGTATAAATTCTTCCCACAACTTCTTTTCATGTTCGTGACTGTTTCAGTGTATGTTACAAATCTTCAATTTATACAACTTTATTTAATTTTAATTCATTTAATGTTCCATTTATTAATCACGTCTGAATTTGACTATTATTAATTTTGACTTTTTGTTTCAACCACATTTTAGCTTAATATTTTTATTCGCACATATTTTTCTCATTTACTATATGAACCTGACTACATTTACAGAAGTGTAGAGTTCGTTTCGAAGTTTTGAATCAAAGTTTTAGACACTCTTATTCGTAACTCACGTAATTATATTAATTAAGGTACATAAATATTACTATATCATGTATTATAATACAGATCATGCCATCTTTCAACTGCCTTCTAATTTTGGAGGCGCGGGTTCAATTTCCGGTACCTTCACGTAAGATTCGAGGTGGACAAAGTGGCACTGCAGTTTCTTCGGATGTCCTCTGCTAATCATTACTCCACAACTGTCCAATATTCATCTGACTTGTGCGATAGCCTTGAGCAGGCAGCACATTATCACATCCTAAAAAAAAAGTAAAGCTATCCCTGTAAGAGGCCGTGAAGGCCCATAGGGTTGTGAGACGCTGAGAGTCCCACATTATCTAGACAATCGGCTCAAAGATGGCGGTAAGACTGTCAGCCTTACGCGCCGGCCGCGCTTTACTCCCCAGGATTTTTTTTTTTTAATTAATTCCTTGTACTCATTTCTGTGAGAGGCTGAGTCGACCCCGGGGCCATAGTGCGCCTGGAAGGATTAGGTCAATTGAAAAAAAAAATCCAATGAACTCATCCTAGATTTTTAAACTTGGTTGGGGAGCTTCATCTCTGACCTCGTACTTGGTTGCTTGCAGACTAATTACATTGCATTACACCATACTGGATCCCGGGACTGGCAATTGTTTTTTATCTTCTCAGCATCCAAACCTGCTCTGGGGTCCACGCAGCCTCCTATTCAGTGGGTACCGGACGCTCCCGCTGAAGTACCGCAACGGGGGCGTTTAGCTGAGCACTCCCTCCATCTACCGCTCAGATTAAGTATGGTGGAGTTCTATCTCCATTACTTATATGTCTTCATGGCGTGGCGTATAATTCAATTAGAATACAGATAGCGATACCTTTTTAGTTTACCTT